CCAGACACAAATATGTCAATGCCAGGTCTGCCCTCCACAAGAGAGAAGAAACTACACCTAGCAGTATGGAATGACTAATTCCAACTGCATAAAGATGTGCTTTGACTAATGCTGAAATTCATCTTGCACATTGAGTTCCTTGAGTACACTGGAGGCAGCAGGAAAATCAGCAGGCTGCACCAAGAAGCCAGAACCAGGGGACACAAGGAGAGACCCTCTCAGCAGAGGGGACACGTTAAGTGGAGACATTTCTTGCTCAGAAAAGGAGAACAAGGCAAACAGCAGGTACAGAAATGCTCCTACCATGAAGAATTCCCAGGCATGTGTTTATTTTGAAATCTAAAATCAGTGAAGGATTGCATGCAGCTCCTGACAAGGCAGCAGCACTAGCACAATAGCTAGTGCAGAACGCAGACTATCCGTTGGGAACAAAGCAAGCTGAGGACATCTCACGCTCCCAACAAAGCCCAGCTGTAGCGAGAAGGCAGCGAAGCCGGCTCGGCTTTGCTCCTCCTCAACCGCAGCTCCCGGGGAAGCAGGAAAGGCGCTGGGGCCATCTGTTGGCAGTAGGTGAGACAGAGAGGAGCATTTACAGGCCTTCAGCACTTCCTCCTCCCAAGGAGAATTTAGTTCCTGCAGCCACGGCTGGCATCAGACCACAAAAGCATCTCTGCTTGGCTCACACAAGCTTGTTGGAGGCTTTTTCCCTTTTCCCTCAAGTCCTGAATTTAATACATATGGTTAAAAACTGCAAGTCTCTTTTTAGTCCTATTTTACAGGGGTTTTTTTCCCCATTTTGCCCTTTATAACTTCCATTAAGCAAGGTATTTTTCACCAAAAAGTCAAATTACTAAATAAATGGAAAATATATATTCTACCAGTTAATGAGAGAGATCCAATGAATTAGGACAGTACATAAAGATGAAGCTAAAAAGCTGCACTCCTTCAACCAAATATTTCTCCTTTTATTTACAAATTTAATCAAGCAACTTTAATCTTTAGGTCAAGCAAATAAACCAAAAAGTCCCCCTTTCAAAGACAATGCCATTTGCTTGTTTAAGCTGTGGGGGAATAGATTATCATAAATGGAACTAGATTATCGTGGTTATCATAAAATGGTTATCATAAATGGAACT